AGTTTTGGAAATTTGTGACCAGTTTGAAAATTATTTTAAGAGTCCAAAGATAATAAAAACCTGAACTGGTCCCATAAGTGCTGCTTAGAAATGAAGAAGAAACAGGTAAAAGAGGAATCATGCAGGGAAACCTAACTGGCCTTGAAAACCGATTGAGGGGAGAAGGGGCCTGAAGCTAACAAGAATAGGAACAGATTTGAACAGAAGTAGATTTTAAGGTAGTGAGGAAACTCAGGAAGGATTAAATCACTAGGTTGGATCAAGAGGTTTTATTATATTACAGATCAGACACCAGATTACAAAGAGATTTAGGCATCACGAGTGATGAGAAAGTAGGATAAGGTAGATTACTTGTAAGACATCTTGTGTTAAACAACAGCAGGGATAAAAGGAATATGAAATGAAAATTCTTTACATTTTTGTTAGAATGAAAAATACGTAAACAATTTTTTGGCTCAGAAGTGAGTGAATGGAATAAGGAAATGGAATAAAATCACCAAGATGTTTATTTATGTTTGGGCAGCAGGAAGAACCCCAGAATCAGAGAGGGGCAGGGAGGGGGTGATGGACAGAGACACTTTAAGAAGAAGGGAGTGAGGGCAGAATTTACATCAGAAGCAAAAATATTGACAAAGGCGGTGTCAGAAGTGTCCTTTGATATAAAGAGAACAAAAAAAATCTATATAATGGATGTTTTAGGAAATATAATAGTAGTTACAGAAATAAAAATATTGCTGAAAAAAGTATAGAAAGTTCAAACAATGACCAATAACATGCATCAAGCAGACTAGTTTGTGAACGGACTACATTTATCTTGTCATAGCTCCATTTCTCCTCTTGGTATAATTGACTACTAGTTATTTCATAAATCACGTTTATGGGGTTTCTACCCTGTGTTCTGCCTCTGTAGTTTATTGGAATAAAGGTCTAATATGTAGACAATAAACTTGTAGAAACAAAAAGGATCCCATACGTTGTCTAGTCCAACCCCTGTTCTTTTTGGAGAGTGAAAATCCTACATTTAGAGGAGCTATGGAATTTTTTTTTTTAAACTACAGTAAGCATTATTATCAATATTCATACTATTAGGGAGATCCAAGCAAAGATAATGTTATTTAAACCAAACATTCCATTCAGTAGTTTCTTACCACAAGGACATGAAATGTTCTCATTCCCTAAAGTCCAAGTTGCTGGAGGCAGGTCTTCCAGAAGTCTAGTCTGATGACATTCACTGACTGTTACTTATATTTTTAATAGACTTGTTGCACTTGTGTCCAAATTTAATCATCAACAGAAAAGGGTATGATCAACGTTTGATCCTGAGTGTCCTCAGACAATAATGGGAAGTCTGTGACTCTATGTTATGGTAAATACACAATAAAATAAAAAGCCTTAAATGATGTTGAAAGGAATTATGATTGTCCTCTTCCCTCCTGGGTCATTTTACCTTTTTTCATTTCCTTTTGCCAAGCACCACAGTAGTAGAAAGACCATCCAATGCAATACTAAAGGTATTAGTTGAGTCAGAAAACCACCATTTGTCTGGCTTTGTCCCTGACAATCAGATCTTAGACACTTACTGGCCTTTTTTTTCTTCTATAATAATTCTTATTCTCATTTCAGTTTATTGTATGAATCAACTGAAGTAAATTTTAAAATCTTAAGCCCTCTGCAAATGTTCAATGTAGATATTTATTGTATTTTCCTTCAGTTTGCATTGATTTTATAGGAATGCTGAGTTTTGGTAAGTAAAACCTTAGGCAATGACACATTGAAAAAGATAATATAATTGTAAACTTTATTGCTTAAATCCATATTTTCTGGTGATGGAATTATTGACCATTTAGAGCAATTATATTCTAATTTTAGAATGACCCCATGAGAACCCAAATATCCATTCTGTTCATTCCACATTTATGGAGTACCTTCTGTGTGCGGTACGGCACTGTTAATTTTCATAAGGCCTGTATTTAGCTTTAAAATCAAGGAAATTTGCTTCACTACCTTACAGGTAAATAGTCTTACTGACTATCTCTTTTAACATTTGGAACTTCCTATGTTACACAACTATCAATTAAGCCAGTGTTGGTAAAGATAACCTCTGAGGCTGAAGAGAGAGGTTGGCTGCCTGTATGTTTATTTTTCCTAACAAACTTGATATAAGACAGGTTATTTTGAATGCTTTGTGATCAAGATAGAAAAAATGTGCAGGATTTTTTTTTAATGTTTATTTATTTTTGAGTGAGAGAGACACACAGTACAAGTGAGGGAAGGGCAGAGAGAGAGAGGGAGACACAGAATCCAAAGCAGGCTCCAGGTTCTGAGCTGTCAGCACAGAGCATGACTGGGGCTCAAACCCACAAACCACAAGATCATGACCTGAGCCGAAGTTGGATGCTCAACCAACAGATCCATCCACTCTGTTTTTGTTTTTGTTTTGTTTTGTTTTTAACATGTGTGAAGTTCTTAGAACATTTTTGTACCATTTTATTCCTGGGAAGATAATATAAAATCAAACTTACTGGTAACTCTGGAATCTGGCCTTTGGTTGTTGTATTAGCAGTGACCCCCCCCCCCCCCCCCCCCCCACCAACACACCTTGGATCATACCAGCAATTAAGGATTTGAGAAATGTATCCAAAGTATAGATGCATAATGTGGTAGCCCATCTGGTCTGATTTTAGCTTCTCTGTACTTCGCTGACTTTTTCTAGTATACAAGGCAGGGAAAAACACAGCCACAAAAATTCCATGCAGCATACTTGTCAATAAGTGTGTTGCATAAATGTCTATGGATGTTTCAACTCACAGGACACAGAGGATTAGTAGTCTATAATGTATGTTCCCAGTAGTAGTTAGTATTTTGGCTGAACAGCTTCCTTCACTCGTTTAGTCTCTTGCTCCTTGGAAGTCAGGAACTGGAGCCCTGACAGTTTTACTAGAAAGAAGCAAGCTAATGAATGACTTCAAGCATTTCAGTAGTTTGTAACTAGTAGGAACATAGGCTGAATATACAAATACATTCAAAATACAAATGTACAGAAACATACAAAACCATTCCCCCTCTCTCTGTATTTGTTAACTATAAACCCCATGCTGACTTGATGGCCATGCAACATGTGCATTTGCACAGGGTCCCCCTGTGCACCTAGAAGGGTCCATGCTTGGTTTAATACTCTAATGTCACTGTCTTGAAATGCTTAATCATTTTTGAACATGGGGTCCCATGTTTTTATTTTGGGATGAGCCTCACAAATTATGTAGCCAGTCCTGCCCCTTGTTTCTAGAAGTTCTAGGTAATTGTTTTTATGTATCATCAACAATGTGTTCCTGGCACTTAGAAGGGGGCACAATAAATGTTTTTAGCACAAGTAAATGAGTGACTTTGTAAGGCTTCAAGTAAAAGCAACTGACCAGAATCTTAGCCCCTTTAGTTTTGCTAGGGTGGGGAGTGGGGGAGAGGTACTAAATGTTTGAGAGAAAATTTAAAATAGAAGAACCTAAAATAGTATAACAAACACCTAAGTTTCCATCAGCATACATGACAGCTATTATTTTATTGTATTTACTGAAAATGTTTATTTAAAAATAAAAAGCAGATAAAATATACCTGTTGGCCCCACTTCTATACTCCTTTATCTCACTGGGTGGGGTGCCGGGGTGGCTCAGTTCCTTAAGTGGGTAAGCATCTGATTTTGGCTCAGGTCATGATCTCATGGTTTGAGTTTGAGCCCCACATCGGGCTCTGTGCTGACAGCGTGAAACCTACTTTGGATCTTCTGTCTCCTCCCCCTTTGTCCCTCCCCTGCTCTCTTGAGCTCTCTCGAGCTCTCTCAAAAATAAGCATTAAAAAAAATTCTTACCTCAGTGGGAACTAGAGCACTAATATGAATGTTGGACCCTTGCAATATTTGCTGTCTCTTTACACTGCTACCATATATGGTAACATATTTTGTGAGCATTTTAATATTTATGTGAATCATGAAACTATATGTGTCATCTTGTAATTTGCTATTTTTGTTCAGTATTCGTAAAATCTGTTCATATTGATATATATATAGCTCTAGCTCATTGATTTCTTATGACTGTATACAGTACTAATGCGCTCCCCTGTCCTGATTGGCCCACTTGGTGAGGCTGTTTACAGCAGGGTCAGAGGAGTCTTTGTATTCTGGTTCTGTTACTGGTCAAAGTCACTAGGTGGGCAGCAATGGGCAAGTTAAATGATGTTTCTGAATCTCTATTTTCACATCTATAGAATGAGTTAATAACTTCTACCACTTCAGATGATTTTATGACAACAAGATAATATATATAAAACCTAGCATGTGATAAAAGTGCAAAAAAAAATAGCGGTGACAATTAGCATTACTTCATATGTATGTCTGAATATTATGAACCCCTAAGCAAATAGGTAACCTTGATCTTAAATTTGCATGGTTTGATTCTTTTCATTGAACTCTTAGCTTGGCTTTGGTTTTGATTCTATTTTTATGATAAGAATGTTTCACTCTTAAAATGCAGTCCTGGATGTATCTTAGAATTTCAGGATCCCCTTATACAAAATTGAATGATACCACCTCTAATGCATGTTCCATGGCATAAACCCATACAGTTGCAAGTTAAACCCATTTAGCTATAAAACTTCAGTATTAAGCACTTGAAAAATTATACCTATGCTCTGTTCTATGCATAATTGGAAAGAAACGAACATCCAGCGCTTTCCAACTTTCATTTTGCAAAGTAGCAAATAATAGAACTGAATTCTGTTAGACCGTAACTGTGCTTCACATTCTCCAACTTGGCATTAGAAATGTAAAACCTTAAGTACACACTGAGCTATTTTGTCATGTTCTCTGCAATTTCTAAAAAATAAAAACAGAAGCCAGTATTAAGCATAGTCTTTGAAGTAGATGGGAGTCTGTGATGTATTAAGAAACTTGAAATAGCATTCTGATTCTCCCTGTGGATTAAAAGCATCATGTTTTGGTTATTCAACAGATATTATACAATTCGCTATAGAGAAAAGGATAAGGAGAAGAAATGGGTTTTTCAACTCTGTCCAGCCACTGAAACAATTGTGGAAAATCTAAAACCCAACACAGTTTATGAATTTGGAGTGAAAGACAATGTAGAAGGTGGAATTTGGAGTAAGATTTTCAATCACAAGACTATTGTTGGAAGTAAGTACCAGGAACTGTTTGAGGAAGATTTTTGTAACTTTTATCTTCTTTTCCTAAGTACCAAAATTTTAATTATTTTATTCTTAAATATGAGGGGAGTTAATTGCCATCCTCTAGTGCTTAAAAAAATACAAAAGTGAAGACAAATTGAGTACTGATACTTCAGAATCTTTTATGTTGATGAGTGTTTTTTTAAACAGAAAATGTGATGAACTGATGTTTGATGCCTTTATTGATAACACTTCTTTGGCCATTTTAGTATTTTCAATCAATCTCAGATCTATGAGCACCAACTGAGTGAAAACAGCAGTAATGTGTATTGGTGTTCAGAATGGAAAGCTGGGCCAGTAGAAGTGAACATAGAAATACTCGAAGGGTCCCAAACCTTGTCATCTCTTCATTCAAACTTCATTGGAATCAGCGCTTGAAATGACAGTAAATAACTAATAGGAATAAAGAGTCTGAGTTAGAAAAGGAGTACAGTTGTCTTCATAATGAGTAGGAAGGGTTAATTTAGGAACACAAAGAATGAAAATAATGTTATTTTCTGCTTGTTTTTGTCAGGTAAAAGCAAAGTCAATGGGAAAATCCAAAGTACCTATGACCAAGCCCACACAGTGGTAGGTACCAGGTTATTCTCAGGAATGTGTTTTAGAAATTGTATCTGCTTTGTGTTGTTGTTGTTGTTGTTGTTGTTGTTGGTTGCAAGAAAATAGGCCTATTAGGATTAGATGACTGGCCATGGGGCTTTGTGTAAAGTACTTAATGCTTTAGGAATTTCTTTTTCAGCAAATGGAGGTAGAAATATGAGAGCAAATTATCTAATATGTTTATAGCTCTAAAATACTGATACTTGATGTAGTTATTCTATATCCAGATTCCAGGTATTTTGAGGTTATGCTTATTATCTGCAGTGGATTGTCTTTTAGAATAACGTGTTTCCAGAGTAAATCTGTATATGTTCTATTTACATTGGTATTACTCACTTCTCTGTCCTCTTCCCACTATTTTCTCACTTCCTGCTTAAAGAGCTAACCCTTTTCAAAATGATGAAGCAACTGGCTTGGTTTTTATTTGTGCCTAGCCTCTATTGAGTGTAGTAAATATCTGCATATCTTACCTGCCAGGCATCCCCCTCATCTAGACACCCTCTTCTCTCTCACTGCAGAAACTCAGTCTCTTGTCCTTTTTCCCTCCACTTTTCAAAATCTGTTCTCAGGAAGCACCACACCAGTTAGTACTACCTGTTATAAATGTAAGCCATTGTTGTAACTGTCACAGAGATGTTTGCATTTTCTTTTATTGTTTTCATCTGTTTTTTTTTTTTTAATTTGTTTATTTAAATTCAAATCAGCATACAGTGTAGTATTGGTTTCAGGAGTAGAACTGGGTGACTCAGCACTTACATATGACACCCAGTGCTCATCCCAACAAGTGCCTTCCTTAATGCCCATCACCCATTTAGCCCATCCCGCCACCCACCTCCCCTCCACCAACCCTCAGTTTGTCCTCTGTCTTTAAGAGTCTCTTATAGTTCGCCTCCTTCTCAGTTTTTATCCTTTTTTTCCTTCCCTTCCCCTATGTTGATCTGTTGTGTTTCTTAAATTCCACATATGAGTGAAATCATATGATACTTATCTTTCTCTGACTTATTTCGCTTAGCACGATACCCTATAGATCCATCCACATTGTTGTAAATGGCAAGATTCATTCTTGGTGATTACTGAGTAATATTCCATTGTATGTGTATATATGTGTGTATGTGTGTATGTATGTATATTCATATATGTATGTACATACATATATACACATCTATCCCATCTTCTTTACCACTCATCAGTCAATGGAAATTTGGGCTCTTTCCATAATTAGGCTATTGTTGATAGTGCTGCTATAAACATTGGGGTGCATGTGCCCCTTGAAATCAGAATTTTTGTGTCCTTTGGATATATACCTAGTAGTGCAATTGCAGGGTCATAGGGTAGTTCTATTTTCAAGTTTTTGAGGAACCTCCACACCGTTCTTCAGAGTGGCTGTACCAGTTTGCATTCCCACCAACAGTGAAAAAGGGTTCCTTCACCTTTCTCTGCATCCATTAAATCACATGCATGATTATAAGATGATGGCCCGAGCAGGTAGAGGAGGCACTCTGGTAAGAAGGGAGGAATTTGGTGCTGGCTTTGGTCCCTATGTGTTGGGAGTATCCAGCCAGGGAAATACCCTACAGTCAAGTGAACATGCAAAGACTATTCGTGGCTGCAAATTTGCTCTATTTAATGTGTCCATGTTGTGGATGGATATCTTTTATGTCTAATGAAATAGTCAAAAGAATACCCCATTGATCATGTAGGCTAGTAGGAAAAAAAAGGTAGTACATACCTCATTGGGATGGAAAAAAAATGCAGAATTTTTGTCAGTGACAGAAAAATGGTTTGGGTAAAAAAGATTGAGAATTAATCCTGATAAGGCAAATGTTTCTGTGGTTTACATTGGCAGAAAAGTGTGTCCCTTGTAAATTTATGATCAAGTAATGATTATTAGATTGCCCAGGAAAGTGTTTTGTTATGTTGCAAATCATCAGGTAAGAAAGGAGATGGCAGGTAAATTCCCATGTCACATTCATTCATTCATTCATTCATTCATTTTTTTCTTTCCTTTCTTTAGATTTTGATTTGTTTCCTAATAATCTAATATCTAAAAATTGAGACTATATAGATATGGGGAAAGCAAAGAAACAAAATTATCTACAACACTGCCAAATAAAGACCAGTATAAAACCATTTATGATCCACTTAGTCAAAATATGGTATAGCAGATTTCATGTCATAAATGCTCTTCATATATATAATTTTAATTACTGTGTATTCTATAATATAAATTGGAAACTCAGTTTCCAATTTGTAGGCATTCAAGTTATTTCTAATTGTTTTTAATTATAAGTGATGCTATGGCAAACATTTATGACTATAATCTTAGTTCATTTGTCTACTTGTTTCTTTATAATTGATACTTAGACAGGAATTAGTAACTTAGATTCTTAATATATTGAAAACTTCCTATATATGATCAAATTTCTTTCTAGAAAGGTTGGGCCATTTTACCATCTTGCTATCAATATATCAGAGTTATCTTGCTAATATGCCTTGATTATCAATATGTATTTCCATCACTAAATTTTCACATAATGTAATAGCTTAAAATGTTTTATAAATTTTTTCCCTGATTTCTAATAGCACTGCTTTCTTCACTTGTTTATCAGCCATTTGTATTTTCCATTTAATGACTTTTAGTTTTAGTCTTTAATTCAATGGGGGGGTCTCATGGTTTTTATTGAATAGATTTGAAAGATTTTATAGATTAAAGAACATTGACTCTTGGTTATATCATCTAGGAACATTATTCTCACATTTGTTATCAATTTTGTTTATGGAAATTTTTGAAATAGCCTACTTATAAAATTTGTTTAATCAAATTATTTGTCTTTTCCGTTGTCATATTTACAGTTATATTTTATAAAGCCCTTCTTTATCCAGAGAGCAAATATTTCCCTCTTTTGTTTTTAGTTTTATAAGTGGTTTGATTTTTGTGGTAATTAAATTCTAAACTATATGGGTTGTATTTCACTATATTGCAGGTGGTAAAGTCATATATTGATTAGGTTATATATATTTTTTCCAAACAATCATTTGGCCCAGTACTAAGTATTGAGTTGTACCATTCCTTATTAAGGTCCCTCTCTGGCTTTGTCTCAAATCCAACCACAGGGAATAGAGTTGCTCTTTGATTCTCTTCTGGAACAATCCCCACTCTTGTTGTGAATGGTTACGTAGGAGGCATATCTTATCTCCCACCCTCTTGGCTGTCATGCTTTGTCTTACATGTGACCCAATGATGTCATTTCTTTCATTCCTTTTCTTCAATCATATCCCAATAGTGTTTTGTGCAAAATATTTCATCTAGTGAGAGTTACTCAGCAAAATTGGGAAAGATGATTGATGTTTACTCCCAAGGAATTTAATTTCTTTTTCATAACATAAATAGCCATGATGAGAAGGTCGAGGAAGAAACTTCCTGCATCTGTGACACAAAGCCAGATATTTTATCACTTCAAGCTGTGAGGCGGAGTACTCCCAACTCCAGCCAGCTGTGATGAGTTGTGGTTTGAAACTCTTGGTTATTTCCAAAGGAAAACCCAAATTAATTAAAAAGATATTTTAAGGCTTCTCTGTGAGGCTTTCTCCATTGTCACTTTCTGCACAGCCATCTGTCCTCTTGGGTAGCTCTGGAACACAGGAAAGTTGAAAAGGAACCACTTGGGATAGCCTTAGACCATCTTACATGACCACTTAGAATTGATTCTGAAAATAGATTTGATATTTTAGAGGCATATTTTAATCCAAATAGTCAATATCAATCCAAATGTTCAGATATCTCTGAGACTGCTTTTAGAAGGCAATATTTCAAGAACTATGAAATTAATTCCAAATGTTTTACTTTTAGACTTTTAAGCAAAAGATGCATTGAAAAATGCTTTAATTCACCTATATGTGTTTACACCTAAAACTTGTATGCAGCAAACACTTAACTTCTTCTAAACAGAGATTTGGAAAGGAAAAGACAATTTGAACTATAGGATATCCATTTTTAAAAGATAAATAATATTTACGCTAAAAATTTGAATGTTAAAAAGAGCCCCATCTTAAGCATCTGGTGCATTATATTTGTAATTCATGTATCTCCACACATGTTCTGTTGGCAAGCCCCAGCACACTTGTACCAGGTACAGGTGCCAGAGGTTTCTTCTGATGGTTGGTGCCTTTATTCTACTTTCACCCCTGCCTATACCTCCAGAAAAATCAGACAAAAGGTGAATTTTAAAGATTGTGATTTATTCTATACAAGTTGTATTACTTGAGATTCAAGATACTGTGAAAGAAATACACATTTATCATAATTATGCTGTTGGGTCCATGTCGAGAATTTAGAACACACTTTTTTTTTTAAGTTTATTTATTTATTTTTTTTTTTGAAAGAGCGTGTGTATGTGCAGGCTTGAGAACTAGTTTGGGGGAGAAGCAGAGAGAGAAGCAGAGAAAGGGAAGAGAGAGTCCCAAGCAGGCTCTAAGTTAGTGTGGAGTCCCACAGGGGACTTGAACTCATGAACTGTGAGATCATGACCTGAGCCAAAATCAAGAGTTGTTTGCTTAATGGACCAAGCCTCCCAGGGGCTTGTAGAACCCTCTGTTGACAGACGTGAAACCTAATATTTATTAATAGGTTTTATTTTATTATGCAGGATCCAATCAAGAACATGGCTAAAAGGACCTAATTTTAACACGTTAGGTCTATATTTAAAAAAAACTAAGTTATCTTACTAGTTCACTAAACAATTTTTGAAGCATTTAACAGATTTTATTTTATTTTAAGCGTTTATTTTTGAGAGAGAGGGTATGCACATGTGGGGAGGGGGGGCAGGCAGAGAGAAAGGGAGAAGAAGGATCTGAAGCAGGCTCCAAGCTGACAGCAAAAGAACCTGATGGGGGGCTGGAACTCAGGAACCCCGTGATATCATGGCCTGAGCCTAAGTCAGCCGTTTAACTGAGCCACCCAGGTGCCCCTT